GTAACACACCCAGAAACGAACTATAATGTAACAATGGCCATTTTCCTGACTTGGTACAGGACATTTTAAGAAAAAAAAATGGTGGGTTGAACCTGGTTTTGTGGCATGCCAAACCTCCCGCTTTTATGGCAACGTCAAACACAACACCAAAACGACAACATCACATGACAGGACCACAATACAAATAAATGGGAGAACATATAGGACAAAGAAACACACGAATAATAGCTAACAAAAGGTACTAGGTTTAAAATTCAATACGCCAGACGTGCGTCTCGTCCACACAAGACCATCCAGTGACGCTCAGATGAAAAAAGCTTGAAAACCAAAACAAGTACAAAGCCAAAGAGCACCGAGGGCCAAAACTTCCAAAAAGTTGCGCCTAACACGGCCAGGGTTTTCTGCCTGCGACAAGAACATCCTTATTATTTAGAATAATTTATAATTTTGCAAACAGTAAATTTTATAAAATGACTTTATAATAGATATACATGATAAAACCGAAGTGGGGACTAACTACAGAATAAAAACGGATACATTACATAAAACAACTTAATCCAACGTATAAAAATACACAGCCGAGTTAGCCAAAGCATCAACGCACAAAGTGACGTCACATTTGAAATTCTAAAAAAAAACACAAAGTGACGTCACATTTTAATTTGTAAAAATATTTCCCAAAAATAAGATAGGATTAGGATTGATTCAAGATTAGATTTGTAATACTGACATTACATTTATTAATAACAATGAAAATTACAATACTTATTAATATCAAATTGTGGTAGTAATTAGATAATTAATTTTATTATCTAGCTATGTCGGTGTTTCTTCTGAATCAAACTGTAGACGAAATGTATCGTATAAATTTCGTTGAACCAAACTAAAATCTAATAAATGAAGGGGGTGATTAATAATCTTTACAATAACACACGAATATAACAGAAAAGACGTTAAGACATTTGACAAAATCCGACGAGAATAACAAATATAACATCAAAATTAAATACATGAATTTGGGATAGAAAGGTACCGTGACACGTCTTATAGCAATGCGGTTTTACACTCAGCAAAACAGTCACAATCGGGAATAAGTCACGTTCGTTAATTAAAAGATCAGACGACTTAATGACAAACCACAATCTAACATGTGGTAAAAATGTCCTAATGTCCAATCTAACATGCCAAGAGGAAACTCTAAGAAAGGGACTCCAACTAGAGGACAGGGGGTAAAAAGACGAAGAATGGCCGACTCTAAGAAGAAAGAAACAGCTGGTGAAGTCAATCCCAGATCATCTGGTGAGTCAGTTATTGATGTTAGTAGTGTCCAAGGGCCCTCCCAAACGTCAACTGGGACAGAACCTAATTCATTTAATGAAAACATTCAGTTTTCACAAAGCCTTCCCTGTCTTGAGGAAAGTTTGTTTGACCAAATCGGGTGTTACGTACCCATGAAGCTAAAAGATAAGGTTTGGAAATATGAATTTATCGACCTGAGTTTGTTGATTAAATCTCCTAGAGAACTTGCAAATTTTCCTGACCAAGAGGGTGACTTAGTTGTAAAAGGGGGTTACATGCGGATTGAATCTTTACCATGTCGAGCTATACCAAACATACGCACATCGACAAGCGCTTTCATGATTTGTATGAGTAATTTGCTAGAGAAACAGAGTTCTTTGGCACAGGAACTGCTAAAGTACATGAGAGATATTCGTTTTGCAGCAAATGAATCATACGGTTGGGAAACATACGATGAGCAATTCAGACTCCGAAAAGCACAAAGACATCAGTCATCTTGGGCTGTCATAAACCAAGACTTATTTTATATAACAACAGCTATGAGAGATCAAGGTCAAAGTAACGAAAGTAAAGTAGGTTTCAGTTCTCAAAGTGAGCCTCTTCATTCCTATCGTCAGTCATCAGGCCACGTGAAAAATTTTCAGCCACCTAAAACATGCAATGCATACAACACAAAAGGGAAGCGGTGTAATTTTAACCCTTGCAGATTCAAACATGGATGATCAGCATGCGGAGGTCACCCAGCTTACTTTTGTAAGAAATATTAAAATGTCGAAACAGAGAGACACATTTTCACTTTGTTTTTCCCCAGTTAAGGTTGAAAATTTAGCAATATATTTACATGATTAACCCCTTTTAGAAAGTGCCTCGTATTTATTGTCCGGTTTAAAATTTGATTTTTCCTTACATTACTCAAGCCCTCGTTTACCTACAGATTCCTAGAACTTAAAAAGTGCTATCGAGAGACCAGATATACTTCTTAAAAAAATAAGAAGGAAATAGATGTAGGGCGTGTTGCCGGTCCTTTTAAGTTTAGGCCTATTCCTTCTTTACGAATCTCGCCATTTGGTTTAGTTCCATATATTTTAAGGGTAGATGGGCTCATGGGTTATGGCCGAGAACGTGGCATAAGCGCGGTTTATTGTCTAACATTACATTTTGAGAACTATTCCCAGTAATGGTATCAATCATTCTGTGGGGGTCTGAACTTAGAAATAAAAAGGTGTTGTTTCATATTGATAACGAAGGAGCAGTGCACATTCGTAACAGGAGCAGTGCACATTCGTAACAAGAAATTATCAAAATCATCGGATGTGATGATTTTTATCTGACACCAACTCCAATTCCGAACCAAGTATGGATTCTGTAACAGAGGAATCAGCTAGACTTTTTTCCGATTCGTTAGCCGGAAATACATGGAAAAGCTATTCAAGAGCGAGATCTGTTCTTGCTTCATTCCAACTTCTATATACACTGGATAAAGTATTCCAGTTCCTGTTGAACAGTTAGTACAATTCATCGCTTATTTATTCTTGAATCATTTATCTCCAGCTACAGTTCGATTATATATAAGTGGCATTTCCTTTTCTCACAAGGCACGTAATTTAGAGGATACTACTAAGAATTTTGTTGTATCGAACATGGTTGAAGGTTTACACAGAAATCATCCACAGAGAGACAACAGGACCCCGATAACATTACCATTGTAACGACAGATTACAGACGCTCTCCCTAGTACTTGTACATCTACTTACGAATCTTTATTATTTGAATCTTCATTTATTTTGGCATTTTTCGCCATGTTACGTGTTAGTGAGTTTACGACAAAAATTATTCTGATTCTAGTACCGAAGCACTACAATTGTCGGATGTGGTCTTGTCAGATCGTCAATTAAAGATTAACATTAAGAAAATTAAAACGGATCAGAAATATATGAAAGTCTCGTGTGGTGTGTTGGAAAAGTGGAATACAAAGGCGTAAAAGGAGCGAAAATTTGAGGATGAAAATACAGCCGGGATAGACGGGAACCTTATTGACACTTTCATATATTTCTGATGGTTTCCCCACCTATTTACATAGTTTCAAGCTTAAAAATGTGATCTATTCCAGCGGCACTACCTATCACCTTGTGTATAGGAAGTGGACCCCAACTTGAATAACATGTCCATACAAGTGTTCATATTTTCCCCTAAGTACAATGTAAAACAATGAGATTTACTCCAAAAACTTGATGTTGTTAAGGCTGCAATCTGATACGGGAAAGTTAAATTTTTTCGTTACTTTATTTTTCTAAATAATATCTAGCAATGGTGATTTAATTTAAAACATTTTGTATAATCGAAAACATATTCATGATTTAGGAGAGAGTGATTTACGCAATGAAATCAAAAAGATAAACTGTGTGAATTTAGAATGATATTCTAAACGGAATTTAAACCTTAATAATTTTTTTAGCATATCTTGATTTGAAATTCAAATTTCCTAAAGTCATGAAAAAATGAAACTTTTTGATTTATGTAATTATAGATAAACAGGTTGGTATGGAACGCCACAGCTGTCTTATGTGGAACTCTGATATTACTTTATGTTGTTTTATTATTACTTGATGATATTTTGTCTTTACTTAATATGGTTTTGACATTACGTAATGATGTTTTGATATAACTCAATATGGAATAGTCATTACTTAATGATATTTCGATATTACACGATATGGTTTCGTATTGACTTGATATAGTTTTGCCATTACTCAATATGGTTTTGTCATTACTCGATGTGGTTTCACCATTATTTAATGTGGTTGTGTCATTAATCAATGTGGTTTTAACAATACTTGATGTGAATGTGATTTAACGTTATGTAGTTGTTTCATTACATGATGTGGTTTTGTTATTTCGTAATGATGATTTGCCTATTCTTTATATGGTTTTAACATTACGCAATGATGTTTCAAAATTTGACGATTTTACACTACATGATGTGTTTGTTTCATTATTTGATGTGGTCCTGTCATTCTTTGATGTGGTTATCCCATTACTTGATGATGTAAAACCACGTGACCAATTCGGAAAAAAATATGTTCTATTTTTAAACAGATTTCAATATATCGTTTGTTTAATGTGCTTTGGATGGGTATCGCTATCCATTGAGTTAAAGTTCAAATTAAAGTTCGAGTGGTTGTTCAGAGTTATTTGGTATGAAAAAGGGGAACGAAAGACAATAATAAGAAAAAAAGTATTAAAAAGTTTACAGTATTTCGGACATAATTGGGATATCCCCAAACCACTTGGTCCTGTTGTTTTTATCCTAAGTTCTCAAACGGAAGCAGTATTATTGTAATAAATTTGTAAAATATTCCACGGAACCATGTGTCTCGCCTGATATTGCTGCTGTAAGTGTAAAAGCGTCATGTTGATCAGCTGTACATTTATCTATACATTTATCGGTAAAAAAAAATTTTTTAAAAAATGTTTTTTTGTAGATGCTTTTTCTTGAAATTGAGGAATAACTCTTATACAAGTTTTAAAACACTTCATGGAGGTTTACTAATTTATCATGTCAAAACAGTTTAGTTCGGTTTTATTTAACTAAAACAAAACTGTATGGTTTTCAACAATGAGCAAAACCCATACCCTATAGTAAGCTATAAAAGGTCCCGAAATGAAAAATGTAAAAAACTAGAAACCTAACGATCTATAGATAGATACATAGATACTTTATTCTCTAAAAACTAAATACAAGTTTACAGAGAAACATACAATATAAATACAGATACAATAGTCGAGGTAAACAAATGCAGTATGATATTCTAAAAGTACAATATTATAATGGCATACATGTTTAGTAACATATATAATGAAAGGTTAAACTCAATAGAAATTAAAAAATGGAGATGGAGACGCCGACGCCACTATCGACGACGAAATATAGGTTTGTTGTGTCTCACTGCCGCTACATTGATGTTGCAGGCTCGACACAAATCAAAAGACTTGAACTTTATTGTTAACAAATGAAACACTTCAAATCAACTCACTCTGAAGTTACAGGGAAACGGGGGGAGGGGGCTCGGACTAAGCGACAAAGCATCAATACTATAAAATAAGAATTCTCCGATTTTTTTTTTAGCGTAAATGATCATTTGAACTTATACGAGTATCAATCTTTTATTTGTAATCAATTGAATTCCCTGATCTACCTCGCACTAATTGAAAAATAAACTTTTTGGAATATTTGTTTCACATGTGACGACGAACATGTTCCAGTGGTCGTAACTATAATACCGTCATCTTTTCCTTGAATGTAAACTACCAAATAAAACCAAAATCACTGGGTTTGTACTTTCTCGAATAACACGACGGGTGCCTTTCTGGAGCATCCGAGATCAACCCGATGGATTTATATTACCCAGTCATACCGATCTATTGAATCAGCCAAATAAAACTGAAAGTTGGGGGGCATATTGTTTTACCCCTATCCGTCCGTCCGTCCGTCTGTCCGTCCCATTATGGGTATATAGTTATTCCGCATAACTCCTCCTACAGTTTGAATCCTAGGAAGTTTTCTCTTTACTGTCTGTTTGTACATATATTGAAGGTGTGCATGTGGTCAGGGTTTAATGGTTATTAATATTTGCTCTTTTGGGAGATAGTTGAACTTTGTAATTTTTTGGGAAATTTACTTGCATAAGAAGAGCGTTTCTAGATAACTTCTCCTACAGTTTGAATGCTAGGAAGTTTTCACTCTGCTGGCTGTTTGTACATATATTGAAGGTGTGCATGTGGTCAGGGTTTTTATTTTTATTATCGTTTGCTCTTTTGGGAGATAATTGAACTTTTTTGGTAATTTTTGGGGTATAAGCGGTTAAATGAGTTGAGTGCGGGGGCATCACTTTGTCTAGTTTACATTTTTTCTCGTGTTGTGCTGTTACACAACTGTAACAGTCCGATGTAAGGTTAGGATTTAGCGCTCACATACATGTTGAACTCCGCCACGTGCACTTTCTTTATGTACCTTCCCAAAGTCAGGAGCATGAAGTTCAATTGTTGTCGTTGTATAAATGTGTGTCATTTTTTTTTTTGTAGATTGTTTATTTATAAATAAGACCGTTTGTTTTTTCGTTTGAATTTTTTCACATGGTGCATGGTGGGCTTTTATAGCTGACTATACGGTGTGTTGAAGGCTGTACGGTTGCCTATATATGATTTCTTACATCCATTGCATTTAAACTCTGGTGGATAGTTGTCTCATTGTCAATCACACCACATCTAGCTTTATTTCAACTTCTATGTTGCGTTTTGTATACTGTAACATTGTTTATCTTTTGTACGCATACCCCAGAGCCCTCTTTTCGGAAGCCCGAGCAAAAGTCCTTGTTCCGCGATAGAAAATTTAATTACGAACTCATATAAGATAGCTCGAATTTCAACTCATAATCTTAATTAATCTAAATGAAGTTCGAATCTTACTCAAACTCTACCTCAAAAAGTGACTCAAATTTAATGTAACTAGAACTCTACCTTTAAATGTGACTCAAACTCGAAGTTCAACTCGAAACTCAATGCTAACTAAAACTTTAATTCTAATAATGACTTGAATTCGAAATCGAAGACTAACTCAAAGTTTAACTCAAACAGTAACCCAAACTCTAATTCGATGGATGGCTACACTCATCCAAGGCACATACAACATGGAAATCTATCTAAAAATAGAACAGGTTTTTCCGAATTGGTCACGTGATATTTCCTCATCAAGTAATGGGATAACCACATCAAAGAATGACAGGACCATATCAAATAATGAAACAAACACATCATATAGTTTAAAATCGTCAAATTTTGAAACATCATTACGTAATGTTAAAACCATATAAAGAATAGGCAAATCATCATTACAAAATAACAAAACCACATCATGTAATGAAACAACTACATAACGTTAAGTCACATTCACATCAAGTAATGGTAAAACCACATTGATTAATGACACAACCACATTAAATAATGGTGAAACCACATCGAGTAATGAAAAACCCATATTGAGTAATGACAAAACTATATCAAGTCAATACGAAACCATATCGTGTAATATCGAAATATCATTAAGTAATGACTATCCCATATTGAGTTATATCAAAACATCATTACGTAATGTCAAAACCATATTAAGTAAAGACAAAATATCATCAAGTAATAATAAAACAACATAAAGTAATATCAGAGTTCCACATAAGACAGCTGTGGCGTTCCATAGGTTGGTATCTAATTACTAGTAATTGCAAACATTGTTCTCAAATTATTTTTATAATTAAGGTCATATATAGAAAATAACTTATCATTTAAGGTCTTATATTTATCTGGAAGCTAGATTTCGCCGTTAACATTTCCAATCATTTACGCAATCGATAAACAATTCATGAACATTGGCAATCTTGATCAACATGAAGGAAATCTTATACATAAATGCATCGTGACTAGTATTCTATTTTATTGGATTAAAAGGTAAAACGGGTGCAATATAAAATATGATATAGATGTTTACACTATGACATGACAGTGTTTGACGTAACATGCGTACTGAACATGCTGAAGGTAAACGTTTTACCCAACTTAAAGAATTCAACTTGAACTGTATTACAAATCAGGTTTTGAACTAGATTTTAATCTACAGATGAGCTAATGCCTTAAGTTGCATTTCCACTTGAAAGTTTTTTTCCGAATTAAATTCGAATTTATAGGTTTAAGGAATGAACAAAAACATTAGAGCAAATGCAAATATATAGTACACAATATAAACAATAAAAAATAATTCCATCTTATAGTGTAAATGTCAGCAAGTCTAAGTTGATATATTTTCGTTAGTCCAAAGTTGGTATAATACTCAGTAAAAGATTAAACGTTTATACTATTCACATTAATACAGTCTTTCAGGAACATCGATCTTAGTCCAGCTTCAAAACATATATTTATGTTTCCATGCTTTATTATCTTAATCCAGATTCCTTTACATATTCAACTAAGGCAGACTGACAGAGTATCTAGATTTCCTGCTTACAAATTTACATGAAGTGAGTTCCAGTTATATCCGTATCTTGTGATATTAAATATAATTGTCCTCTCTGGTATATTTAACATACCTGCTTTGAAATATTCAAAAATGCACTATCAAAGTTGTAAGCCTGTTTACAAAAGAGAGATATTCTGAAAGGTCATTGACGTATCAAATGTGAACAGTGCCAGTCTTGTAAACATAGTAATAAAAAGATTTAAAAAAAACATGATAATGTATCGAAATCTCAAACTATCGAACAGATTTTTCACATTTTGAAATTTTGACTTTTAAACTTAGGCATAAAAGAAATTGAAATAAAGAGACGCTTTATTCACATCTGCTAAATGTTTGAATTTCAAAATTATTATTAAGTTTGTAGTTTTTGTTTTGTTTTCAAAACATTGTCAGAATCAGAACGTTGGTGAAACTAACTGGTCAATTTATGAAGCTATATAACATATTTTCAGTCATAAAAAAAAACAAAACAACTTGTGGAAATTAAAAAGTACAATGCAAACCGTAAGAATAGTTTTTTTTGGCAAAAGCAATAATTCTGAATGCGTAAAGAAACCTGAGGCATTTTTTTAAAACAAGATTGCCAAAATATCAAATATAATAATTATGACTAAGATTTCAAAATTTCATATACTGAGCCATATTTTGAAAGATAAAGGGGCAATTTTTGTTGTATTTGTTGTTAAAGTAAGAAAGTTGGTTAAACCTACTTGTCTATTGAAAAGTCAATTTAACCAAATCATCGGAACAGCAGTAAATAATAAATTCCTACATAATTATGTTTTTGGTCATGATGTCCATCTTTTTAATTTTTTGGATAATTACTCACAGATTGCCAAACTCTATATAATTGAACCATGTTTAGAAGACATTTTTATCAATTGATTTTAGCTGCTCAAAAACAAAAATATATTTTCAAAAGTAAAAATAACCTAGTGAAATGCCAAAGGAAGCCATAGCATTCATAATTTTTCTTGCAAAACGGGTTAATTAATGAGATATACCTTAGTGATAATGTTTTGGCTTGTCAAAGGATTTATTTAATTTTTCGAAGCTTCATCTGTCTTGGAGAATGTTCGCTCCTGTGTTTCATAATAGCAAGGCTTTTAAAAGAACTTATGCATTGATAATATATATACTGACCGACATTAGAAACGCAACACCAGATTATTCTTTTTATTTCCCATTTTCAAATATGCAATTTTTGTTAAACAAATGTATAAACATAAATTTCATCCATTAATTCATTGTCTAAAACCCCATTACAGTGTTTTGGCAATCATGCGGTTTAAACTGTATAGCTTTAAATGATTTTCTGTAGTCGATTTTTTGGCATTTCAGTTTATAGGAAACATTTTTGGGATGAATCTGTCTGCCATGGCAATTGGCGATTTGATTAACAGTTGACGTTGCGACCGTAAACATGTCTTGCAAATGACGTTGCGTAATCAAATTCTATTGACGTAGTGTGGTCACTGCATATTGGTCTGGTCATTGATCCTCATCAACAAATCCCGTCTACCTATATCGTTGTTGGAAGAACGGTAAGACGAGTTTCTGACGTCAAATTTTCTGGTGACAGCACGTTCACGTTTTTCTGTCTGCAATATTATTAAGGGCTGATTCAGATTTTCGTTGCTCAGTCTCGACAATATCGAGATGCAACATTTTTAAACTGACTCAAGTGTGTGTATGGATTGAAAAAAATGTTTTACGAAGAAAAAAAGCCTTACAAAAATCATTTATGAGTTTCAAATTTCGCATTAATAAACTCGTGCTACTTTGCTAATCCGGTATGTTCAATAACCTCAGATAAGGCAGATACTGAATTTTTCTGAACAGAAAGAAGTATGGTAAGCATGATTGGAGTTATTTGAGGATCAATCATGATCTGGTTAAAAAAATCAACAAAATGTGTGTTGCGTTTTTAAAGTCCGTCAGTATAAATAGCTGAACTATAAAAGCAGAAAAAAATTATAGGTCCATGTCCTTGTTTCTGAGATATAATTAATTGAAAATTTTGCAGGAAATGATTCTCTCTAGAGTTTTCATGCATCTAACATTGGAACCTATTTTCCTTCAAAAACTATCAAAAAATAAGAAGTATTTTATAAGATTTTCAAAAAAGGCTTTTAAAATGATATGTAACAAAAAAATGAATAGAAAAGTAGGGTTAGCGTGCAAAAAATTTATTGGCACTACATAGTTAACACCAGAAGATTCCGAATGTTTGACAAAGAGTCAAAAACAAGAGTAGCAAACATCCTGAAAGACATTATTTTGTTTTAGATTTTAATCCTTACCCTCGAAATTCAATGTTTTACCTTTGATTTCATCCCTTCCATAATGGTTTGTGCAATGCGGGAAATTTGATCTGGTTCATCCTTTGAACTACACAACAAAACGACAGTACCTTCACCTAAAACATTCCTTCTCCCTACAGTGATTTCAAATTCATTTTTAATTCCTCTTTTTCCAAATTTTCGTACTATTTTAAATGCCCAACAGCATTTTGTTGTCTTTTTCTCAATGTCTTCTAATATAAAACCACTTGGCGTAATGCACAGCCTGTATTGCCCATTTAATCCAAATTTCAAGGCATCATGCGCTGGTTTCACAGTTACAATGAAACAAGAATCTGAAATGAAAGACAAGTAATCTGCAGTGCAATTCCATGAAAGTAAAGGTACATTTGAAATAAACAATCGTTATTATTATGTAACAGAGTGATTTTTGTGACTATTTTGTATAATGTAAAAATCATCTATTTAATACCTATATTTATGGTAACAGTTTACATATTATGAATATTAAATTTGAGTCAAAACTATTACTTTTAGATAAATTTTCTGCATAGTAATATGCATTTTATTTTTTTTAATGTTAATGTTATCCCTTACCATCCATATATTACAATACTTCATGTTCAAATGCCAGTTTTTATTTAAGATATAATTCATGCAAGCCATAGATTTGTTGGAAATTTTCACACAGGCCTGGGGGCGTTATATTTGAGTTTTATCTCGAGCGTCAGCGAGGGATAATATTTATGAACATTACTGCCCAGGCCAAGTGAAAATTATAACATATTGATTGTTTGCATGACATTGAATTATTTCGATTCTTATAGGACAAATACGGTAAATTGAAAAACTGAAGCGAAGGTAAGATTGCTGTGTGTATGGCTGTTCTATTTTACCCCTGTAAGATTAAAGATACACATATAAGATAAATCCTAGGCTTTCATGAATTATGTCTGAAATGACCACTACTAAAATGTGTTCAATCTTTATAATTTTTTACCAAAAATAGTTTTTTTTTCATTGGCTACTTTTTACTGTCAAATCCACAGTTGACATGTCGTAACTAATGAGTGAACCGCAATGTTGACTTGGTTAAATCCTTGAATGTGCGAATGATGCAATAAAATAGAAATGAAACAACACCTACCTAAAAACTCCATTTTAATTCGATATTTTTCCGTATTTGGAGCGTACTCGTAATAGAATAATTTTCAGCTTGAGAGTTTTCATTCGTATGACGCAATATTTTGACATGACATTAATTGCGCCAAGATCACGCATGAAATTTTGCAGGTTTTATTTTAATTTGATTATATACATTTTTAGAGATCTTATGCATGAAATCTTTTTATTATGCATTATAACGAGAATATTGGTTTTGTAGTTTCTTTTTCAATTTCAAATAGAACACAACGAAATCCACATAGCGTTTGCACATAGGTTACGATACATCTCGATTTACATGGGAGGTAATAGTAACAGTCACTAATATGTATAGTTTTGATTTTCAAAGAAGCACGTCATACTAGAATAATGGTTAGTCTATGGAAAGGTAGATACTATGAACTTTAGAGCGAGGGGTTCTGTTCCGTGCTCTTAATTTCATAGTAGAAAATTTTTCCTTGACTTTTCAATTTAGCAGATATTTACAACCTGAGTAATCTTTTTATTAGTTTATTAATAGTTGTTTGTAAAATGGAGTTCATTAATGTAGTTTAATGATTTCCTTGATAGAGGATTGCTGCTCACAAGGAAGCTATTAAACCAAGAGTTCCAAATGGTGAAGTTGAAGTCATCCTTTTCGTAAATTTTACGGTCGCCATCACGAGTTGGTTGACCGTTATGGAATAACCGTTTCACAGATGATATCGGATATGTTCCTTATGTCGTAACTACAATACCCTTCCCTTTTCACGAATGTGACCTACCGAATTAGACTACTTACCAGATTTGTAATAACATAAGCAACACGACGGGTGCCACAGGTGGAGCAGGATCTGCTTACCCTTCCGGAGCACCTGAGATCACCCCCAGTTTTTGGTGGGGTTCGTGTTGCTTAGTCTTAAGTTTTCTATGTTGTGTCATCTGTACTATTATTTGTCTGTTTGTCTTTTTATTTTTGGCCATGGCGTTGTCAGTTTGTTTTCGATCTATGAGTTTGACTGTCCCTCTGGTATCTTTCGTCCCTCTTTTAATGCTTTGTAAATTTACTCACGAGTGTCATGGCTATAATATTTGTTCAATTTGTGACGATGTATTACTAGGTCATGAGTTTATTAAAACAACAAACATGAGTTGGAAGCTTTACGACCTTCAAGCCAATCTCAAATAAAAAAGATGTGATTATAAAAGGTATTTGACTCAAGAATAGTAGATGCTAGTGTAAGTATGTATTTTGAAATACATATATCATGTAGATAGCTATGTTCTTTGCTAATCTATTATACTTTAATCTACTAATCTAAGTTTTGTAAGCAAGTTTTAATTCGCCAAATATATATATAATACTGTAAAAAGCCTCATTCAAAGAATTGATTCTATTGATTCTTCAAAAACGAAATTTTTTCTTGCGGGTCTTTATGAATCACCTATTCGTAGTCAATCGCAGGCATCCGTAGAGAACTCGATAGTATCCATTGGTAACTCGCTCTTAGGGATCCGTGAAAGGAAAGGCAAGTTTTAAAATGCAAAAAATCTTCTGGCAACTATCCACCTATCTTTCCATAAAAACTCGTAACAATTCACAAGTATCCTAAACCTCGAGCAAAAACACGTAATCATCCTTAAACTGTTTGCAAGAATCCGTGAACAAATTCTTCCTTTTTTATGCTTTGTTAATGTAATTTTATGGTGGGGTTCGTGTTGCTTAGTCTTTAGTTTTCTATGTTGTGTCATCTGTACTATTATTTGTCTGTTTGTCTTTTTATTTTTGGCCATGGCGTTGTCAGTTTGTTTTCGATCTATGAGTTTGAATGTCCCTCTGGTATCTCTCGTCCCTCTTTTAATGTGTTGTTTTTGTTTTTTAATTCGGGTCGTGTAACGATGACTTAACAGATTGTTACAAGTTATCTTGAGCATTTTACGTGTAGTTTGATAATAGATACGAATATGTAAAGTATTCTTAAGCATTGTTTACGAATGGAGAAAGGTATAAAAGTTGCAAAATCGAAAACTTCATTTTCAGTTTGAATCAAGAAGTCGTAGAAAACACATCTCTTGTGCTATGTAGTCACTCGGGATGACAATTTGCTTGGCAAACATCGTTAGGACTAATAAATTCCCATGACTAATTCGTAATTATTCATAACGACACGTAAATAGATCGTAGCTAACATATTAAGCCTTAGATGAAAAGTACCATTCCGTGCTTTTCTCTTAACAATTCGTTAAAAGTCCGTAAAATGCACGTAAGTTACTCGTAGATAACTTTGACAACTCGTAAGAAATCGGGCAATTTTGCAGTATAATTTAAAATCGTCGTAATAATCCTTATTGAAACGTGAAATCTTGTTAATTAAATCGTAACAACTCTTAAATACATGTAGGTCGTTAATGTGGTTAAATCGTAATGATCCGTCAATTAGTGCGATTTGTAAGGAAAATCTGTGTTTACAAAAGGGGTATTGAGGAAGGGACATTATCAAAAACTCAAATATTGTTTCAACAAACCTTCCTCATTTTTTATCGTTTCATACTGATGATCAGGGTTGCACTCGGTGACAATATCAACTTTGGCCTGTGCCTGTTTGATTTTCTGTCTCACTAATGAGATATCACTTTGACTGGTCTGAACAACAATTTTCCCAAATTTACTAATATTTTCGAGACTTTTCATCAGATCATTGGTTTGAAAAGAGATGATGACATCTGATAGTTCATTGCTATTTTGTATGGACTGTATGAGGCTTTCTGTATCCGTCAGTTCATGTTCAATCTGTTTGCTGATAAGGAACGTTTGTAGGTCGGATGCATGCTGCTTTATTATTGCAAGGCTTATTTGAAATTCATCTATCTCCTTTTCTTTCCGCTCTACAGATGCCAAAATTTTGCTAATTTTCTTTCTTTCATCATGTTCAATAATTTGGAGTTCTTTCAATAATTTTCTTTCAAGACGATCGAAATGTTCATTAACTGTATGCCTAGCTATCTGAATTTCCTTTTCAATCGTCTGTCTGTGTAATTTTAGAGATGATAGATTTCCTGCACGTTTTTGTTTAATTCTTTGTAAATTATCAGTAAGTTCCCGCATTGACTTTTCGATTTCTAACATCATGTTGGACGACTTTATTCTGCAGACAACATCGTTTATATCTGTGAGATCTTTGCAGTTCTTATGGTCACCTATGAGACACTTTGAACAACAAGAACACTCGTGTTTATGACAGTAAGCTTGGTATCGTTCACTATGTGATTTGCAGGATTCTTCAATTTGAAGGACACTTACAGGTAACTTTTGAAATTCGTTTACAGGTATAAAACCATGACTTTTCGATGCTTTTTTCAGGATATGATGTTCTTTACATTCCTCACAGAGTCCTTTATTACATTCAAAACACCATGCTGTAGATGGTTTAGAAATATGTATGGAATGGCAGATGCCACATGCAGGGGATTCACTTGCCATTTTCCTGTAAAACATTTATTTGTAATAGTGACACACTGGTTGCAATTTATACCTGATATCTATTAGTTGCAAGGTGTAACACGTAGGGTTCAAATAGTGATAGAGGAACTGTTAAACAATCTGAAAGACCAAAATTTAGATGTGCGCCTGTCCCAAATCAGGAACCTCTGGCCATATTACTTGTCTTGTTTGGGTTTTTTTATTCAATTTTCGGTTAATTCATATGTGTAGTTTGACGTCCATTTTCTACGAACTAGTACACACTTTTGCTTACTAGGAGCCTCTAGTCTTGGTTAATCTTGTATGTTTTTGACTTTTAGTTCATTTATATGTTTTGGAGTTTAGTGAGGCGTCCATTTTCACTGAACTAATACACATTTTTGTTTAGGGGCCAGCTGAAGTGCGCCTCCAGGGTGCCGGATTTTCTCGCTGGGTTAAAGATCCATAGGTGGCCTTGGGCTGTTTTTCTGCTTTGGTCGGGTTTTCGTCTCTTTGACACATTCCCCATTTCCATTCTCAATTTTAAATATTTTTAAAGCAACGTTTGATGGTTTAATGAGAAAAGTTACCTAGATGTTTTTCTTCATTTGTTTAAACAAATATATTTGTTATCAATACATGCTATATCTAACTTTACTTCTCTACCTCAAATATTGAATAAGTATTAAATTTTTCCTTTCTTATTGAGAAATTTTATAGTTACAATTATATTTGAATAACACAAACAATTTAGATGGTGTCAATGTTGATTGTAGTGCAAATACAATAGAGGTTTCTTGATAAAGTAGACTTGCGTGGTATGTGAATTACAATAAACCTAAGACGATTTAGAATGAAAAGTAAATAAATAGAAAGGCACAATAGTTTTTATCATGAGACATTGTTGACACTTCCTCGCCGGTATAGGTTTTAATAGCTAGTTTGCTCGGAGGTCTTTGAATATACAAAATAACTTATCATTTAACTTTTACGGACTTGCAAACTATAAAAATTGAAGAAAAGTCCAGAAAATCATTTGCTTCGCCTGACTCACGTAGTAGGGACGAGGTTAATTCGAATTCAACTTATATTCTAACTCGAATTCAACTTATATTCTAACTCGAATTCAACATATATGATAGATAAATAGTACTCAGACTATGAAAAACAAATAACAGTTACCTAATTGCTTTAATTATTAATTGTTAACAATGTCTTGTCCTGAATATGCATGAAATATTTGCCACTTGATATTTAGAAAGACACTGCGAATATATTGTGGCAGACTAAATTTATTCTAAAACCAGTTTTCGGCATGCTACGGGTTATGCTCTTCTCGTACATTTTATAATGGTATGATACTAAACCCCTAACGGGAGGGATTCTGCTTGATTTTCATATGATGATGACATAATCTTTCAATCAGTTTAATTGAGGTCTAGATCAGTAACTCCTAGTAGATTTTTGTTAATTCATGTTATCATTGTCATTTTGCTCAGTATCTTCTGTTACCTATTATAACATTGGACTATGACATCTTTTAAACTGAGCTTTACTGTGCATATTGATGTGTGTTTGTTTATTCTACATTGGCTAGAGGTATCGGGGGAGAGTTGAAACCTCACAACACATGTTCAACTCCGCAGAAGTTTTGCGCTTGTGTCAAATCAGGAACCTCTGGCCATTATTATAGTCTTGTATGATTCTTTAATTTCGTTTCATTTATATTTCTTGCAGTTAAATGTGACGTCCATTTTCTATGAACTAGTTCACATTTTTGTTTAAGGGCCAGCTGACGACCGCCGCAGGACGCGGGAATCCTAGCTTTGTTGAAGACTCGTTGTTGGCCTTTGGCTGTTTGCTGCGCTTTGGTCGGATTGTTGTCTCTTGGACACATTCCCCGTTTCCATTCCCAATTTGAGACAAAATATGCAGGTAGAATTTGCCATTGGTCGTGAATCAATCAACGGATCCATGTATTCATGTATATATACTTATGCTTTTCACACCTATTATTGCAACACAGAGGTTAAAATGTGCCTTGTTTGTTTTATGTAAATGAAGAGGTTTTTCATCAAGTTTTCATCCTTTTGTATGTTCTGATAGAGCTCTGCTGTGACGTCTTTAAACTTGTAATCATTTTTGTTATGAACATTTTGTTTCACCAATAGTTCAGGCTGAGCTCAACAATGAAAATAAATGCAATGGCTAACCCAATTTTTGGAGATGGATCTGTTAAAATGGGAAAGAAAATCTACTCATTGTAATATTTATTGTCTTTTAATTACGCTATGAAACCAAAATTGGTGTTTTCGAGTAAACCTAAAGTGGATGTGGAAAACCATAAACAGCATCAGATTAACACATAAGATCGAAATTATTATTTGTAACCTAATAAGAGTTACGATTTAGTTATCGAGCACAGCTCTTTCGAACAAAGTCTGGTTTTCGTAAAGACTTTCCTATTCCTTCATTTTGTATTAGATAACAAATATAAAATATTAGCTATTCTTTAAACATGTTAGTTCTCATCTATGTCGATGGATATTGTTAATCTGTTTACTAGTTTAGAATTTGAGACATAATTCTAGATCAATCGGAATATTTGTAATTTTTGAAAACTGTATGAAATTCCTAAAGTTCGAAATATACTAAGTTGATTATGAATCGAGTCCTAACTTTTATGCATAATGCTAATGAAGGAATGTGATGGTTTTAATTTAACAAGTTTAACAAATTAAAATTATGAGGAATAGTTAATATTTACCTATCACTTAATGCTACCACCGTGTTCTATCGACAAGGAAGAACAACAATATTTTGTCATATGACCCATGTCTTTAAAAGGAAGAAACTTTAATTACTTCAAGTGAATATAGATTTAATCATTCAATAAAGATAACGTACTTTCTGTTAAAATAACAAAACAGTACAAGGAAGCACAAATATTCAACTTTAACAATGTTTTTTTAAATAACGTGTCCTTGTTAAATGATTCGAAGACAAGGACGTAACAAAAGCATATCGTTGTTTTATTAGGGATGTTCGGAGACTAATCGAGAAAAACACATTACACACAATACGACAATAGGTACCCTTTTGATTAGGAGATATCACGGTGGGTAAGGTTTCTTGCGAGAGAACATTCTGTGCTGGTGATTTGGCCCTGACTGGTGCTGGTGATCATTGAAAATATGTAAACAAAGACGAAAATAATGATTTTTGACGTTTTCTCGAATACAAAATGGAAGGAAATAGTTGGGATGATTTAATTTTGTTTCTTATGGGTTCATAGGCAAACAATTAAAATTATGACCCTCTAAACTGTTTCAGTAAGCGTAACACAAAACTGTTCATTTTTAGAAATTTTAGAACTGAAAAAATAAAACAAAAAAGCTCCTGGAGTCCGCTTTCTATACCCAAATCCATACGAAAAAAAAAAATGATTTTTTGAAAAACCTTTGCAATTTATTAACATTGTGCATTTTCTCAGTTTAGACATGTCCTGATTCTGTGCTGGTGGGTCCTGGCATTGTGCTAGTGGGTCCTGATACGGTGCTGGTGATTTTTGGTAAAAAGTTGGTCCTATTTGAAACAAACGTGGAAGAATCAGTAAAATTGGACAGAGAATTGTATTCAATCGGATTTGTGACTCCTATTTTTACTTTTGTGCATCCATTTGGCTGTTTAATAAGCGTTTTCAAATAATTGAAACTTATATTACACAAAAGGGCAACATCTTCCGTCCAATATCAGATGAAAACATATCTAATTAGAATAATTTATTTAAGATATTAAATGCCCTTAAATTGATGATTCTCAACATAATATGCTAACTAAAATAGTTTTAAAAGGTGCTTAAGGTTAAGCGACATTTATAACGACAATAAACATTTGACTAAATAATTTCTGTAAATATACGAGGTGAGACGATCTAACTTCTAGTACCTCTAATTTCTTCCTTAATATATACATTGTCTCCGATTCATTTCGACTGGATAAAAAAACGACCTAGACTTGCCTTTCATACATGACTTATAAAAACTTGCTATAATAGAACAAGAGGTGAACAATAGCAAGCCGAAGTATGACCTTCAACATCGAGCAAAAACCATAACGAATAATAGCTATAAAAATGAAAACGATTAAAAAATGAAGACCTTCGGCCTGATTTAAAATACAAATTTGAACAAAAAACAAATATGCCAGAAAGCAACCAGCGACAACCAGTGGTTTTAAGAACTCGTGACAGGGCTTAACATGTTTCTTTGCGCTCTCCACCCCCTCCCCACCTACTTACACCCCAGAACTCTCCACCAACCCAACCCCTACCCACCTCCAATCACCCAACTCCTCCTCCTTTTCCGTTTTTATTGGTATATTGGTGTTACAACAAAAAATATTAACATAAAGGCACAAATTATTGAACCAAGAGTACTCGCAGCTACTAAAAGCTAGTTCAAAGTCGCATTTTCAACTAATAGATAAACCATGTTCTCTGAGATTAAAATTTAGCAGAATTTTGAAACGTTGCAGTGAATCTTGTGCTCACAACAGCTATTGTCATAAATATGTATACATCAGACATTATAAAGTCATTTGGAAGATACTAAGTAGTATTTTACAGTTCAATTTATTTATCATAAAGGGATGGAGATTGCATGGAGGTAAACATAGGATAAGAAGAAATTTATAGTATTTTTTGGCGAAAGACTTCAAACCTTCTTTGCATTAAATTCTTGCAGTAAGTGGTAAAATCCCCAACAAAATCTCAATAACTTTGTTCGAATAAATAAAGGTTTAAAATAAAATTTTCATGGACTTTGGTCCACTTTTTAGCTTCCACCCTGACGAGCCATGTGAGCTGTTGGTAACCTGTGGCACCTACCGCCCTTAAACTTTCTCATTCTCATCTTCTTTTCTGAAATATTTTACCCAATTCATACTTGACAGGATTATTATCATAGTAGCCGGTGCTACCAATGTATCCAACATTTTAAGTTAATAAATTCCACAATAATATATAAATTTTTTGTGTCAATTTGTTTAGACAAAACAAAACTGCAAAAACTTCGAATTCAAGAGAGTAAATTTTACTTAAAATGTGATAATTATCTGTCTTTTTCTAGATCTATGCATAGTATTTATTTCAGATGTCATGGATTTCACACCCTGTTGCCCTTTTTATATTCATATATATATATAAATGAAAAAAACCAAAGGCTGCAGCTGGTATTTTTGCATTTAAAATGATTCATTGCAACAATAATATTTGTGTTAAATGGAAACTGTCAAAATCTTGTATTGCTAATAAATTTTGCTAGACCAAGTTTCGGTATCTGATCTGAATTTTCTGAAAAGTGCAAGAAGTTAGACATTGGCCTGTTGAATATTTTTACTCGATATGTTTTGATTTAACTGCTTGAACTTTTGAAAATTGCAGTTCTACAACTCGAATATATTTTAACAAACAGTGGTCATGTTTGTTGTTGATAATTGTTTTTCCTAGATTCACTCAGGAAAATTCATTGGGTAACATTTGGTCCAGTAATTTCAGAGAAGATTTTTTTTAATTACGGACGCCAAGTCAAGAGCTCACACGGCCGCTCGATCCAGGTGAGCTTAGATCGAAACAGGTTGATATCCAGTTGAAATTAAACCAAACAAATGGAACTCTTTATTAGATAAAGTTTGTATATTTGGATTGTTTAAAACTGTTTTATGGCCTTTAAAAGTTAAATGTAGGTGTATAATTTAAGGTTTTTTGCATCTTATATACTTGTTTATACTCAGTTGGTAGTATGAAGCTACGAGACATTTGTAAATTTTTTAATTAAAGACACATTTAGCAAAACAACCGATTTTGGTAGGTGCAAATACTTCTGGGTCTTTAAGATGCATATTATAAATTAAACTGAAAAAACATACACGAAAAAATAAAGTATTGATCTTTAAACTCATTAATTTGCATCTCAGCCACCCGGCAACAGTATTTTTTTAGGGGGGTGTCTAAAAATGGGCAATTATCTTATCGTAAAGAGACAGTCGAGTACACATTTTACGTTCAGGCGTGTTTGAGTTGATGTTTTGCCCTGAAAACGTATAATATAAAAAATGTATGATATATCTGGCTTTATATTTGATTTTTTTATATATGTTAAGGCTACATGTTGATATAATAACATTGAGAATTCACAGTATCAAAAAATGAAATAAATTGGTGCAGTGAAATACCTTTATAATGAGTCATTACTACAGAGAAGGTGTGTTTGAAACACAAAAATTAAAATCTTCGTGCTATTACAAATATTGAACTACAGGTGTATTTCTTACTGGTATTTTTTTTTCGTTCACTCATTTTTCACTCATTTTCAAATAAAATTTAGGCATGTTTTTGTTTTATTCATGAAATATATGTAAAAAAAAAAATAGGACACATCGTTCACTAACTCCCCCTTAATTCTTTATAAAAAAGCCTTGACAACAGACTTCACCTTTGGATCTTAAAAATGCATAATTTAAAAATCTTATTGTTGTGTGTGTTATCTAGGTTATCTAGTCTTCATTCTCTGACAAATATAGTTTGCCCTTCCATGAAATATTTAAATAATTGTTTTAGTGTTTTATTGAACTTTCGAAAATTCCTCCTGACAAAAGATCAGACAATAATTTTATGCTGACAAAAGGCTTACAGGTACAGCAAATGATGCTGAATAGCTAATACATACATTTTTCTTTTAAAGTACAAGTTTTATATCTTACGGGACCCCTCCCCCCCTTTCCCCTCTTGGAAAATGATTTCAGGATAAAATTATCATCTGCGGTAATGAAATCGTTCTTGATCATCTGCGTCAAATTATTTTTATCAACAATTTTGGAATTACAAAACTATTCCAAGCTTAGCAACTTTCACCGTGACCTCCCTCTCCCTTTTTTACAAAAACAAAACAAAGCCACAATATAATTATCATCCTTTTAGTAAACACTAAAATTGTTACAAATAATTCTGATTTTAGCTGCTGAGGACACATGATTTTTACGCGCAGAAACAAGGCTGAGATTCATTTGTTTGAATAAAAAGAAAAGTATCTAGAGTATCGTACAATTTTGTCAGAGAAACAATATCCAGGAGGCTTAGACTACACTGAATTTATTATCTAAACTCATCTAAGAAGTGTTCAGGCTCACCTGATAGTTAACCGTGGTCAACTTAGTAAAAACAGGTCCTTTATTCTATATTTATGTCTCCATTTTTATGCAAAACCTTTTACATTTTGATATTTCGGGTCATTGTTGAAGATCGTACGGTGACGTATTGTTGTTAACATCTACTTCATTTGGTTTCTAATGGAAATTTGTCCATTGACAAGCATACCACATGATCTTTTTTATATAGGTATTTGATATTTTACACCTTGTTTTGATGGTCATGCAAAATGATCGTAATCAAGCAAATCAGATGCATATTTTCTTATCTCAAAAGGGGGCAAGAGGGGTTTGCATTAAAAGGTCAATGATTTTTATTTTGCTCAATACAAATAACAGTAAATTTAAAATATTGATAACCCATAACAGCAATTTAAATGATCTTAAATGAGAAAACAGAAAACAGTGAATTCAAAAATAAAAAAAAAAAAAAAAAAAAAACAATTAACATTGTTTCAGTTCACAACAATGTCAATTTTTAGAAAACAGCTATTCTTTAAACATGTTAGTTCTCATCTATGTCGATGGATATTGTTAATCTGTTTACTAGTTTAGAATATGAGACATAATTCTAGATCAATCGGAATATTTGTAATTTTTAAAAACTGTATGAAATTCCTAAAGTTCGAAATATACTTAGGTGATTATGAATCGAGTCCTAACTTTTATGCATAATGTTAATGAAGGAATGTGATGGTTTTAATTTAACAAGTTTAACAAATTAAAATTATGAGGAATAGTTAATATTTACCTATCACTTAATGCTACCACCGTGTTCTATCGACAAGGAAGAACAACAATATTTTGTCATATGACCCATGTCTTTAAAAGGAAGAAACTTTAATTACTTCAAGTGAATATAGATTTAATCATTCAATAAAGATAACGTACTTTCTGTTAAAATAACAAAACAGTACAAGGAAGCACAAATATTCAACTTTAACAATGTTTTTTTAAATAACGTGTCCTTGTTAAATGATTTGAAGACAAGGACGTAACAAAAGCATATCGTTGTTTTATTAGGGATGTTCGGAGACTAATCGAGAAAAACACATTACACACATAAATACGACAATAGATACCCTTTTGATTAGAAGATATCACGGTGGGTAAGGTTTCCTGCGAGAGAACATTCTGTGCTGGTGATTTGGCCCTGACTGGTGCTGGTGATCATTGAAAATTTGTAAACAAAGACGAAAATAATGATTTTTGACGTTTTCTCGAAAAAAAAATGGAGTTGGGATGATTTAATTTTGTTTCTTATGGGTTCATAGGCAAACAATTAAAATTGTGACCCTCTAAACTGTTTCAGTAAGCGTAACACAAAACTGTTCATTTTTAGAAATTTAAGAACTGAAAAATAAAACAAAAAAGCTCCTGGAGTCCGCTTTCTATACCCAAATCCACACGGAAAAAAAATGATTTCTTGAAAAACCTGTGCAATTTATTAAAGTTGTGCATTTTCTCAGTTTAGACATGTCCTGATTCTGTGCTGGTGGGTCCTGGCATTGTGCTAGTGGGTCCTGATACGGTGCTGGTGATTTTTGGTAAAAAGTTGGTCCTATTTGAAACAAACGTTACAGAATCAGTAAAATTGGACAGAGAATTGTATTCAATCGGATCTGTGACTCCTATTTTTACTTTTGTGCATCCATTTGGCTGTTTAATAAGCGTTTTCAAATAATTGAAACTTATATTACACAAAAGGGCAACATCTTCCGTCCAATATCAGATGAAAATATATCTAATTAGAATAATTTTATTTAAGATATTAAATGCCCTTAAATTGATGATTCTCAACATAATATGCTAACTAAAATAGTTTTAAAAGGTGCTTAAGGTTAAGCGACATTTATAACGACAATAAACGTTTGACTAAATAATTTCTGTAAATATACGAGGTGAGATGATCTAACTACTAGTACCTCTAATTTCTTCCTTAATATATACATTGTCTCCAATTCATTTCGACTGGATAAAAAAAACGACCTAGACTTGCTTTTCATACATGACTTATAAAAACTTGCTATAATAGAACAAGAGGTGAACAATAGCAAGTCGAAGTATGACCTTCAACATCGAGCAAAAACCATAACGAATACTAGCTATAAAAATGAAAACGATTAAAAAATGAAGACCTTCGGCCTGATTTAAAATACAAATTTGAACAAAAAACAAATATGCCAGATAGCAACCAGCGACAACCAGTGGTTTTAAGCACTCGTGACAGGGCTTAACATGTTTCTTTACGCTCTCCACCCCCTCCCCACCTACTTACACCCCAGAACCCTCCACCAACCCAACCCCTACCCACCTCCAATCACCCAACTCCTCCTCTTTTTCCCCTTTTATTGGTACCGTTATGTAACAACAAAAAATAATAACATAAAGGCACAAATTATTGAACCAAGAGTACTCGCAGCTACTGAAAGCTAGTTCAAAGTCGCATTTTCAACTAATAGATAAACCATGTTCTCTGAGATTAAAATTTAGCAGAATTTTGAAACGTTGCAGTGAATCTTGTGCTCACAACAGCTATTGTCATAAATATGTATACATCAGACATTATAAAGTCATTTGGAAGATACTAAGTAGTATTTTACAGTTCAATTTATTTATCATAAAGGGATGGAGATTGCATGGAGGTAAACATAGGATAAGAAGAAATTTATTATTTTTTGGCGAAAGACTTCAAACCTTCTTTGCATCAAATTCTTGCAGTAAGTGGTAAAATCCCTAACAAAATCTCAATAACTTTGTTCGAATAAATAAAGGTTTAAAATAAAATTTTCATGGACTTTGGTCTACTTTTTAGCTCCCACCCTGACGAGCCATGTGAGCTGTTGGTAACCTGTGGCACCTACCGCCCTTAAACTTTCTCATTCTCATCTTCTTTTCTGAAATATTTTACCCAATTCATACTTGACAGGATTATTATCATAGTAGCCGGTGCTACCAATGTATCCAACATTTTAAGTTAATAAATTCCACAATAATATATAAATTTTTTGTGTCAATTTGTTTAGACAAAACAAAACTGCAAAAACTTCGAATTCAAGAGAGTAAATTTTTACTTAAAATGTGATAATTATCTGTCTTTTTCTAGATCTATGCATAATATTTATTACAGATGTCATGGATTTCACACCCTGTTGCCCTTCATATATTCATATACATATATAAATGAAAAAACCAAAGGCTGCAACTGGTATTTTTGCATTTAAAATGATTAATTGCAACAATAATATTTGTGTTAAATGGAAACTGTCAAAATCTTGTATTGCTGATAAATGTTGCTGGACCAAGTTTCGGTATCTGATCTGAATTTTCTGAAAAGTGCAAGAAGTTAGACATTGGCCTGTTGAATATTTTTACTCGATATGTTTTGATTTAACTGCTTGAACTTTTGAAAATTGCAGTTCTACAACTCGAATATATTTTAACAAACAGTGGTCATGTTTGTTGATGATAATTGTTTTTCCTAGATTCACTCAGGAAAATTCATTGGGTAGCATTTGGTCCAGTAATTTCAGAGAAGATTTTTTTTTAATTACGGACGCCAAGTCAATAGCTCACACGGCCGCTCGATCCAGGTGAGCTTAGAGCGAAACAGGTTGATATCCAGTTGAAATTAAACCAAACAAATGGAACTCTTTATTAGATAAAGTTTGTATATTTGGATTGTTTAAAACTGTTCTATGGCCTTTAAAAGTTAAATGTAGGTGTATAATTTAAGTTTTTTTGCATCTTATATACTTGTTTATACTCAGTTGGTAGTATGAAGCTACGAGACATTTGTAAATTTTTTAATTAAAGACACATTTAGCAAAACAACCGATTTCGGTAGGTGCAAATACTTCTGGGTCTTTAAGATGCATATTATAAATTAAACTGAAAAAACATACACGAAAATATAAAGTATTGATCTTTAAACGCATTAATTTGCATCTCAGCCACCCGGCAACAGTACTTTTTTATGGGGGTGGGGGGTTAATAATGGGCAATTATCTTATCGTAAAGAGACAGTCGAGTACACATTTTACGTTCAGGCGTATTTGAGTTGATGTTTTGCCCTAAAAACGTATAATATAAAAAATGTATGATATATCTGGCTTTATATTCGATTTTTTTATATATGTTAAGGCTACATGTTGATATAATAACATTGAGAATTCACAGTATCAAAGATTGAAATAAATTGGTGCAGTGAAATGCCTTTATAATGAGTCATTACTACAGAGAAGGTGTGTTTGAAACACAAAAATTACAAATATTTAACTACAGGTGTATTTCTTACTGGTATTTTTGTTTCGTTCACTCATTTTTCACTCATTTTCAAATAAAATTTAGGCATGTTTTTGTTTTATTCATGAAATATATGTAAAAAAAAAATAGGAAACATCGTTCACTAACTCCCCCTTAATTCTCTATCAAAAAACCTTGACAACAGACTTCACTTTTGGATCTTAAAAATGCATAATTTAAAAATCTTATTGTTGTGTGTGTTATCTAGGTTATCTAGTCTTCATTCTCTGACAAATATAGTTTGCCCTTCTATGAAATATTTAAATAATTGTTTTAGTGTTTTATTGAACTTTCGAAAATTCCTCCTGACAAAAGATCAGACAATAATTTTATGCTGACAAAAGGCTTACAGGTACAGCAAATGATGCTGAATAGCTAACACATACATTTCTTTTTAAAGTACAAGTTTTATATCTTACGGGGAACCCCCTTCCCCTCTTGGAAAATGTTTTCAGGGTAAAATTATCACCTGCAGTAATGAAATCGTTCTTGATCATCTGCGTCAAATTATTTTTATCAACAATTTTGGAATTACAAAACTATTCCAAGCTTAGCAACTTTCACCGTGACCTCCCTCTCCCTTTATACAAAAAAACAAAAAAAAAACAAAGACACAATTTTATTATCATCCTTTTAGTAAACACTAAAATTGTTACAAATAATTCTGATTTTAGCTGCTGAGGACACATGATTCTTACGCGCAGAAACAAGACTGAGATTCATTTGGTTGAATAAAAAGAAAAGTATCTAGAGTATCGTACAATTTTGTCAGAGAAACAATATCCAGGAGGCTTAGGCTACACTGAATTTATTATCTAAACTCATCTAAGATGTGTTCAGGCTCACCTGATAGTTAACCGTGATCAACTTAGTAAAAACAGGTCCTTTATTCTATATTTATGTCTCCATTTTTATGCAAAACCTTTTACATTTTGATATTTCGGGTCATTTTTGAAGATCGTACGGTGACGTATTGTTGTTAACATCTACTTCATTTGGTTTCTAATGGAAATTTGTCCATTGGCAAGCATACCACATGATCTTTTTTATATAGGTATTTGATATTTTACACCTTGTTTTGATGGTCATGCAAAAGGATCGTAATCCAGCAAATCAGATGCATATTTTCTTATCTCAAAAGGGGGCAAGAGGGGTTTGCATTAAAAAGTCAATGATTTTTATTTTGCTCAATACAAATAACAGTAAATTTAAAATATTGATAACCCATAACAGCAATTTAGATGATCTTAAATGAGAAAACAGAAAACAGTGAATTCAAAAATAAAAAAAAAAAAACAAAAAAAAAACAGTTAACAGGGGTCATTTTTTCAGTTCACAACAATGTCAATTTTTAGAAAACAGATAACTAGTCAGTTAACGGCACATATATTTTCAAAATAACAGTTAACAAAAGTTTAAAAATGCCTAAAACACCTTAACAGAAAAGATCTTACCCTTCTCCAAAATCAAATTAAAACAAAATAGACTCAACTTTGC